TAACAGCTTAACAACTATAGAGTTATCCTCGACTACCTTCTCGTCGACTCATGAACTATATATATTTTTAAATAAAACTAAACCAAACACCTTTACGGTGTTACAGCTCGAACACTAGATCACAGTCTCTTTAATCTTGAGTGGTCCATGAAGGACAATTCTTGGTTCTAAAAGTGCGGGAAACTGAGCAGTGTGGCGCAACATTTGTCACTGACTTCTTGCCTTTTTCATAGGTATGGGGAAGCTCTTGTGAGATATCAGTCTCCGTGGTGTAGTGGTAAGACACTCGCCTGGCGTTCCGCGAGCGCTTTGTCATGGGTTCGTATCCTGGCCGGGGAGGATTTACTGGGCGCAAATCCTTAACTGTAGCCTCTGTTTAACTCAACAGTAAAATGTGTACTTGGTTGTAACAACGATTCTTCGCGGCAGGGGATCGTATTCCAGGGACTTGCCCGAAACGCTACGCGTACTAGTGGCTGTACAAGAATGTAACAACTCTTGTATATATCTCAAAATATTACTGCAGGCCATTACACTTCAGGCGGCGGCAGTACTGTAATCTGTAATCTGTTGACCGTTTACAGGTAACTGTTGAATCTTCAGGACACAGCTGTTTGGAGTCTTGAAGACGCAACTGTTGAGTCTTCCAGGCGTAACTGTTGACTCGTTAAGACTTAACTGGCTCGGTAGTTAGTGTCATTCATTCACACACTTGAGGCAGACGGCGCCAGTGTGGTTGTCCCGGATCATAATTGTGGCGTTTGGACCCTCTTGAGTTAATTGGGGCTTTTAATGTCTGTCGCTTATGGTGTCTGTAGGGGACGGACGGGCACGCACGCACGCACACACACACACACACACACACACACACACACACACACACACACACACACAACACACACAACACACACAACACACACACACACACACACACACACACACACACACACACACACACACACACACACACACACACACACACACACACACTTGGAATTGATAGGGTAGATAAAGACAGTCTATTTAACACAAGGGGAACACGCACAAGGGGACACAGGTGGAAACTGAGTGCCCAAATGAGCCACAGAGATATTAGAAAGAACTTTTTTAGTGTCAGAGTGGTTGACAAATGGAATGCATTAGGGGGTGATGTGGTGGAGGCTGACTCCATACACAGTTTCAAGTGTAGATATGACAGAGCCCGATAGGCTCAGGAATCTGTACACCTGTTGATTGACGGTTGAGAGGCGGGACCAAAGAGCCAGAGCTCAACCCCCGCAAACACAACTAGGTGAGTAACTAGGTGAGTACACACACACACACACACACACACACACACACACACACACACACACACACACACACACACACACACACACACACACACACAGGGGGCCTCGTAGCCTGGTGGATAGCGCGCAGGACTCGTAATTCTGTGGCGCAGTTTCGATTCCCGCACGAGGCAGAAACAATTGGACAAAGTTTCTTTCACCCTAAGTGCCCCCTGTTACCTAGTAGTAAATAGGTACCTGGGAGTTAGTCAGCTGTCACGGGCTGCTTCCTGGGGTGTGTGTGTGTGTGGTGTGGGAAAAAAAAAAGTAGTTAGTAAACAGTTGATTGACAGTTGAGAGGCGGGCCGAAAGAGCAAAGCTCAACCCCCGCAAAAACACAACTAGTAAACACACAACTAGTAAAACACACACACACACACACACACACACACACCACACACACACACACACACACACACACACACACACACACACACAGGGAAGAGTCGCCAGCAATGGTCTACAAGGAGACATGGTCGAGGTCAACGACTAGAAGCACAAGCAATAATATACCCGGCCTCGCAAGCACACAACAAACAACAACAACAACAACAACAACAACAACAACAACACCAACAACAACAACAACAACAACAACAACAACAACAACAACAACAACAACTCGCAATCTTGAACAATAGGACAGGTAAATGTATACAAATTATAATTTGTTAGACAGATATACTGCTGACAGTTTGGCAGAATGGTAGACAGGTTGGCAGGCTGATAAACTGACAAAACAACAGACAGGTTGACAGGAAAGATAAATATGCAGATTGATAACAGATTGACAGGTGGGCCGATTGATGACACGTGGGCAAAATGGAGGATATAAAGAGAGAGATTGATGAGAGGCACACACACTGCCACGCCTCTGGCCGTAATTACTTTTACCTGCACCACGCTCACCACTAATTAACAAATGGATTAGCGAATCATTAACAAAAAATGTACAGTTAATGCCATAATGATGCAATTCGGAAGAATAATCCCTAACCTCTACGGCACCACTGCCACGGCATCAAGTCTCCCACGTGCTGAGAACTCTGCTTCCTCAACACAAGCACAGTTCGTCGCCATCATTGTGGTATTAAGGTACATAGTAAGACGTACGAAAGGAACACTGATCTCCCACATATTCGAAAGCCGCACTTGGAAGCACTTGGAAGACTTTGGGAGCACTTGGAAGTGCTCACTTGGCCGCACTTGGAAGACTTTGGGAGCACTTGGAAGTGCTCACTTGGCCGCACTTGGAAGACTTTGGGAGCACTTGGAAGTGCTCACTTGGCCGCACTTGGAAGCACTTGGAAGACTTTGGGAGCACTTGGAAGTGCTCACTTGGCCGCACTTGGAAGCACTTGGAAGACTTTGGGAGCACTTGGAAGTGCTCACTTGGCCGCACTTGGAAGACTTGGTAGTAACACGCAGGCAGACACCTGAGAGACTGTCGCTGGACTCAAGAAAGCCGTGAAAAATACTAACCAATCAAGGAAGAGTGTGGAGGTTCCTGCGGGTTCCCGCCTATGTTGGAATCTGTGGAAATGAATGAACAGATATACTGACTGTTGATCAGACCACACACTAGAAGGTGAAGGGACGACGACGACGTTTCGGTCCGTCTTGGACGATTCTCATTCGACTTGAGAATGGTCCAGGACGGACCGAAACGTCGTCGTTCCTACACCTTCTAGTGTGTGGTCTGGTCAACATACTTCAGCCACGTTATTGTGACTCCTCGCCTGCAGATATACTGGCTGTTGCAGCCAGTATATCTGCATATACCTTGTGTTGCAGCCAGTATATCTGCATATACCTTGTGTTGCAGCCAGTATATCAGTATATACCTTGCAAACACACAACGTTACGGTGCCTATTGTTACACCTTGTTACACAGCTGTTACATCTTGTTAGGAAGTTTATATGGCGTGTTAGAAAGTTGTTACAACTTGCTAGATACGTGTTAGTACTTGTTAGAAGGTGTTACAAGTTGTTGGAACGTTGTAGCAACGTGGTAGCTTCACCGTGTGTTTGGCGGGAGGGCGCTCAAGGAGACCATATTGAACACTTGGTACCCAAGACACTTGTACAAGGTTAGAGGTCAGGCAACAGCACCCTGCCACGATAACGTAGGAGAGGATAACATAAATCAGTGAACTTGTACGTTGGAACAATGTGGTGGCAACTGGCAGTCCCAGCCATTGTGGAGGAAAGGGAGGTGGCCGAGGAAGAGAGAGAGATTACAAGAGCAATAATTCGTCTGGAAATACCCATGGAAACTCGGGCTGGAAACAACAGCTGAGTAGTGGAGCTACAGAATCTGTTGTGAGTGACGGCCACCCACCGCCATGACCACTCGACCCGGCCTCCTAATAGAGCGTCGGATTTTGACGTATACTCTACCAAAGGCCCCAAGAAACTGTCGTATCAGAAAATAGAAGAGGCTCGCGAAATTGACATACTGGCGCGTTTTATGTTTTACGGCCTCTGGTAGGTTAGGATAAGGGCACTTTAGTACGACTGTTTCTTGACGTTGGGAGATCTTAGGAGGACGAGCTGGACCACTACCTGACAGATTGTGCCCATCTAAGAGACGTTAGATATATGACACAGAACAGTTACAGCCCCGCTCCTATGCCAGGTAAGTCCATTACGGGCTCACCATAGCCCGTGCTACTTGGAACTTTGTTCCCAGTAGCTGAATCTTTAACAACAGATATACGAGTAGATTAATACACACATCATTGTTTAAATTAGGAAACCCCGATTTGTGAAATACTTGTGCTATCCTTAAGAGGGGTCCCTCACTGTGCACCCGCAAGATAACGTAAACTTGAAGGTTGTAAGATAATTCTTTTATCTTTTTTTTCTACCACAGACGTGGCCACACATTTACAATGCTAACTAGCATATGTACATTTTCATGTGCCCTCTATGGACAGTGTTAGAGATCTGTTAAACATATAGTTCAGGGATTTATTGAACAATTATCCAGAGAAAGTGATTGTAGTGCTTTTAAAAATGCTAAACTAACCTACATACATAAATTCACATACAGTATTTACGTCTGTCCTACATAAACAGTGTTCGAGGTGTCTTTTTACATAGTGTCATTAATGTGCGTTTACAAAAGGTGAAATGCAATTCTGACCAGCCTCCACATATTCCTTGTTTGACAGTCTGTTCACTTGAGACAGTCTTAAGCCCCAGCTGAGTCTGGGTACAAGTGACAGGAGGAACAACCCAGCGGGTTTTCTTCCTATTGGGGAGTGTTGTGCTTAATGATAATAAGAAAGGTGATATTATGTATTATGAAGGGTGATACTTAAATATGACAGGCATAGATTATGGAGTTATTATATCTAACAATGACAGTGAAATTGAAATTGAAATAAGTTTATTGAGGTAAAATACACACAAAGGGATGAGGTAGCTCAAGCTATTCTCACCCCGTTCAGTACATCGTGTTAATACATACATATAAACACATCACAAACAATAAACATATTACCAAACATTCTGAGAGATAAACATCTACATTTCCAATGGCAGTGTGTTCACGTAAGTATAAGTGACGCTGCCCAATAAACTAGCCCTTCGTGGCAAACTTAGACTAGACTCTTAGACTTAAAAAGAAGTAGACTAAGGTGATGTGTGTTGTGTCTCCCGCAGCAACACTACCTGATGCAGTACGGGTACCTGCCCACCTCGGACATGGAGACGGGCAACCTCCGTACCGAGGACCAGCTCAGAGACGCTATCCGCACCATGCAGGTCAGTTATCTCTTTACCACCACCTTTGTCTACCCCAGTAAGTCATATATATATAATATATATATATTATATATTATAAAGGTATGAGGGTACCACTTCTGGTGCAATTGTAGTGACCCATAGCCTTGGAGAAGAAAATAAACAGTATTCAGAGAAGACCTTGTGGGTTCTCACTGAACACTTTAATATGTTCTCCTACAACCCCTATTCTTTATATATATATATATATATATATATATATATATATATATATATATATATATATAAATATGGAAGGGAGTACCACCTCTAGCTGGAAGAAGGGGGACCCAAAGCCTCGGAGCTCTAATGTTATGTTCACTTAACAGTAAATAGGTGTGAGACAGCAGGCAGTGTGTGCACCTGCCTGCTGCACCGCCCAGGTGTACCTCTGTTAACTGGAAGTTAGGCAGCTGTTTGAAGCCCTAGGGGGGGGGGACCCCTATTTTCCTTAATAGTCTTCCTGTCTTCATGTACGGGTAAATCATAAGGTGAACCATAATAATGACAAAAACACATGTATCTGTCTTCATTAATATTGTAACTGTGTCCTTGTATGCACCGGGAAACTATAGTTCGGCAGAATCTGCTGGTTTTTCTAACGCAGTTTCCCTATCGATTTCTATCTTTATAGTTAAGTAACCCCCTTAAATTGCGCGTTAATACAGTTTTCTGAAACTCTACTAGCTGAACGTTTTCTATGATAGGAACGATCAACTGAACTAAAAAAAAGACTACTCAGTAGGAGTGGTGCTGCGCTGGAAATGCAAATTATATTTTAGTCGTATTATTAAGCTACTTCAAGAATCGTACAAGCAAAAGGGAAAAGACCTTTCCTCCACTCTTTCTCTTCCACCCTGCAGCGGTTTGGCCACATTCCTATCACGGGGAGACTGGACGAAGCCACAAAGGAACTGATGAAGAGACCTCGGTGCTCCCTACCGGACGTGCTGCCCTCGGACTCCCACACCCGCGCCAGGAGGTTCGTCAAGCAGGGCAAGCGCTGGGACAGGTTCAACATCACCTGGGGGTAAGTACCACCAACCAGGGCGCCCAGGGTGCCCACACCTTCACAACAAATGGTGTTGAATCTTCTCTGTGTGTGTGAATCTTCTCCAATATTCTGCGTTTGAAATTTTATCAAATACAAGGAAGGGCACCTTTGAAAATTCATTGTTTTCAAGGTGTGTATAAATATGAAATATGTTAGTTTTTGGATGAAGTTACCTTGAAGGATACCTTGAGGTTACCTTGAAGGTTATCTTAAGGCTGGTCCGAAGATCAAAGACGTCGAGGCCGGGTAAGGTAAGGTAAACAAAACAAATATTCATTTCTTAAAGGAATTCTATTATTGAGGGAAAGGAAGATATTCTTTTAACTTCTTGAATTTTACACCAGTAATAAATTAATGGTTAAAGAAAATAGATGGCGGGTTCCCCCTTTGCCTTCACTGCTCATGAGGGGCGCTCCTGCTGTCACGCAGTTAGATTCCCGGGCAGAGTGAGATATTTGGCCCCGATCCCTTACACCCGATGCCTCTGTTCACCTGATAGTAAAGAGGTCCAGGGGAAAGGCCAGTCGTTGACGTAGCCTGGGGGGGGGACGTATATTATGATTGGATACACATAATGTTGTGCCGCGTTTGATATCCCACTGAATGCTGTTCCATACTACTCTTTAGTGTTCATCCCTTCATAATATTGTGTCAGACCTTTGCACTTGGGACGGGATTGTTGCGGGTTAACTGAGATGTTAACTAAGAACCTTAAACTAAAAATAAAAACATGTTAACTAAAATAACAACATGTATTAAAGAATTAAAGAAATCCCTAGCATACAAGTAAAGCTAAGATACGAGATGTTCCCTGCGGTACGTCTGGGACTCCACCTGGATTAGCGAAGTTTATGCCGAAATCATAAAAAGAAAACGAACTCAACTTGTATTAGAGAAAACGAAATTTTACCAGAAACATAAATAATCTATAAATTGTAAATCTAGATATATCGCTCAACCAGAAATATATATATATATTTATATATATATGTATATATATATTTATATATATATTTATATATATATATATATATATATATATATATATATATATATATATATATATATATATATATATATATATATATATATATATACATATATATATATATATAATATAGTGAATCTATATTAGCTAGTGTGCTTAAAACATATTTTTTATTATATTTGATTTATACACTATACATACTCATATATATAAAACAGAGTATGTATAGTGTCTAAATAAAAAATAAAATTGAAAAAAATACGTTTTTAAAGTTCACTGACGAATATAGATTACTTATGTTTCTGGTAAAATTCCGTTTTCTCTAGTACAAGTTGAGTTGGTTTTCTTTTTCTGATTTCGGCATAAACTTCGCTAATCCAGGTGGAGTCCCAGACGTACAGCAGGGAACACCATCTTAGCTTTACTTGTATGCTAGGGATTCATGGGTTCTTAGTTAACATCTCTTTTCCAATAAGTGTTTTGCATATACTGATGATTTGTTTTAAATAAAGATAAATTAGGCTATGGATGTGTAGTTGTATTTATAATAATAATGTTTATGCAGGTAAAAGTACATACATTCAAAATGAATTAGAAATAGAATGTTGGATTTCTAGATAGATCTGGTACATACTATGCCTAAAGCCACTAATACACACAGCGTTTCGGGCAAATCTGAATCATATCTGTTCTGAACCATATCTGTATTTCTGCATGACCTTGCAAGAGTTCCTTGAGAACAAGGAAATGGGAATGCAGCAGGTGGTGGTGGACAATGTCTCCTACATCACTTGGGTCATCTTATCTCTGTCTCAGTTCCTGGCACCCGCTGGCACCCAGCGGAAGTGAGGTGCCCCGCTCTCTGCCTTGCACGAGGCTTGACAAGGAGCTCTTTATAGCTCTGGCCTTCTGAGACGTTGTGTTCCAAGTGGCAGGTGTTTCTTGAGGGCGACGTCCTGTTGCGTACCTATCATGCACCTCCAAGTTGTGCCTCTGATGTACCACCAAGGTGTACCTGCCTGATGTACCACCCAGGTGTACCTGCCTGATGCACCACCCAGGTGTACCTGCCTGATGTACCACCCAGGTGTACCTGCCTGATGTACCACCCAGGTGTACCTGCCTGATGTACCACCCACACATCACCAAGTCATCTTAGACACACACAATGGGAAACAATGACGTATTCCACCCTTACCCTTCACATAACATCCACCAATCAACTACGGCACTAACTACCCGTTAAACACTTGTAAACAAATTGTTAAAACAATTTATTAATGCTAAAATGGATAAATAGAGCGATGTCATAGTAAACCCATCAACAAGCTACGGTACAAAAAAAATTGACAATTGGTTAATTTGTTATGTTTAGACGAATTAAAATGTGTAATTTAGAAACTATAAGGATTACAGTTCAAAGTCCGGAACGGGATGTGTTCTATTGCTGATCTGTGTGTGTGTACTCACCTATTTGCTCCTGCAGGATTAAGCTCTTGGACCTCGCCTTTCTGTGTGTGGTTAGAATTTGTGTCCGTTATCTGTACAGTGTTTCATCTCTCCCCCTCCCTTCCAAATCACTTGGTCTGGACGGTAGAGCGACGGTTTCGATTCATGCAGGTCGGCGTTCAATCCCCGACCGTCCAAGTGGTTGGGCACCATTCCTTCCCCCCGTCCCATCCTAAATCCTTATTCTGATCCCTTCCAAGTGTTATTTTGTCGTAATGGCTTGGTGTGGGGGAGGAGGGAGGGGGCAGTGTGGAGATCAACTTTAGGAGCAGACTGGAGGTATATTAGAGGTATACTGGAGGTATACTGAAGGTATACTGAAGGTATACTGGAGGTATACAGGCTATAGAAGAGAGGAAGCAGGTGAGTAATGGAATACCCATGACTGTGTCAGGTTAAGACCAGCCTGGGGATGGGTGACCGTACAGCGTCACCCCTGGCTAAGAGGGACCACCTTAAAACAAACATGTTTATTCTCCCGATCATTGATGTTGCAATAAGAGCAGCAGGGGGTGGAGGACCTCTGACAAGACTCCGGCTTCCTGTCCCCGTCGAGGTCACTAGACATATAGTGGTCGTATAGTAAATTCAGGTATAATATAGTTGGAAGGATGCGTGGTGGAGTGTTTTGGGCCCCGGCAAGAGGCAGAACACGGGTAGTGGACGGGGCATGGAGAGCTAGACTTTACTCGATTCCCCGTAGTCACTGATACATAGGCACAGATAGTTCAGTACTGGCGGGTGAGGACCAAAAGCTGGTTCCTGACCGTTGAGGTCTTGATAAACGGTCCAGAACGGACCGTTTATGTGGGTTGTCATCCATTATCCTAAGTGCATAAGAGGACTCAGCTGTTGCTCCCTTTGTTGAAACTTGGACACGTTTCTGTTGGGGCTACCAGATCAACCTGGCTGTGTAGTGGTGTGAGCTACGGAGACGAACAGCCTCACAGACCAGGATATCACCTGGGAAGGCTAGCTAGCCCTCAGGCCAGCTTGTGATAGCTCTCTCAAAATTGTCTTGAGATGAATAGTTCCGTCGTGGGGTGAGGTGGGAGGCTGGGTCGTACATCTCTCTATTGTGTTTATCCGTGTGTTTATAAGTAATGTTTGATTGCCTCTAAGAGTCTCTGGTATTGATTTCTTGCACATTGCCTTTGAACACCTCCCAGTCAGTGTCGAAACCCATATCATACTCCCATACAGGAATTGTATGGGAGATCAGGGCTTCTGTATTGAGTTCGTTGGAAATCACTATCATTGGTAGATGATCGCTTGTTCTTACTGGACGTCTTTCTTCGTGGGTGTTTAGGAATTGGTAGTTATATATATATATATATATATATATATATATATATATATATATATATATATATATATATATATATATATATATACATATATATATATATATATATATATATATATATATATATATATATATTTTATATATACATACTCTCGTTTCTCTTTACCATGGCTGTTAATGCGAATTATATCAGGGTCTTTATAATGAGCATTATAAAGAGGACTCTATATAAGTTGCAGAGTTCCATTGCTCTGCGAGAGTCTAGCTTAGTGCACTGTGTTGCGTAGTGACTGGACGGCTCTGTTGAGAGTGGGCACGTTAGTAGTTCCACCTTGTGGAGTTGGTTGGCGGCATGTCCAGTGCGCACCTCGCTAAACGTGTTGCTGGCTAAGTGATGGATGAAGGTGACGACGACGTTTCGGTCCGTCCTGGATCATTCTCAAGTCGAGAATGGTCCAGGACGGACCGAAACGTCGTCGTCCCTTCATTTGCTAGTGTGTGGATTGGTGAACATACTTCAGCCACGTTATTGTGACTCCTCGCCTGCTGATGGATGGTCTGTGAACTCGAGGGTGAACCTTTGGAACATTATGTGGGGGTGGAGCTCTGTCGTCATGGGAAGGTTCTATTGGAATTTTATTTATGGAGATTTTATGCGTTCTTGAAGGGTAATTCGGTTAACCTTTTGTGGGTTTCCTGTGTCGGAAAGAATTCGATCTTTCTTTGAGGTTTTATCTGCGTCTTGGGTTTCTGCGTCAGTGTTCGTGTGTGTGTGTGTATGTGTGTATGTGTGTGTGTGTGTGTGTGTGTGTGTGTGTGTGTGTGTGTGTGTGTGTGTGTTTGTGTGTGTGTGTGTGTGTGTGTGTGTGTGTGTGTGTGTGTGTGTGTGTGTGTGTGTGTGTGTGTGTGTGTGTGTGTGTGTGTGTGTGTGTGTGTGTGTGTGTGTGTGTGTGTGTGTGTGTGTGTGTGTGTGTGTGTGTGTGTGTGTGTGTGTGTGTGTGTGTGTGTGTGTGTGTGTGTGTGTGTGTGTGTGTGTGTGTGTGAGATTAGCACTGATGCAAGATTCGTGTTTGTTGTCTCTCTCAGTTTCTTTATCTATCATCATTCTCTATTTCGCAGTTTGTGCTGTGGTGCTTGTAAGATTTGGGGCCTTCCTTCGGTGGGTCTTTATTG